GTATTCCACCACTCCACTCAACTACTCCTTATATTAGTCCCATTTCAGATCTCAGTTCTATAAATCTGTTTCTTATTTCTTCTCATTCTTCTTCCTCTTCCTTCTTCTTGCTGTCCTGGCTGTCCACAGAGCTGGTGCTGCTGCTGTGCTGTGAGCCTTGGCTCTCTATGGGACTGGCACTGGAATTGCTGCAGCTTTGGCTCTGCTGTGGCTGGGCTGGACTGGGGGACCAGGGCGGCGACTGTAACCTCTTTTGGCTTCTCCTTCCTGCTTCTGGGTTTTAATGGTACATGAGCAACATAGGACAGATGTTTGGCTGGGATGCTTCTGGTGGATCTCTTGATTGAAACCTCTTGTGGCCTGGTTTCTTCATTTACAACAGTCTTTCTCAGTTAATTTCTTTATTATGTCAGGATTTCTGTGCTCAAGTTATCTGTGCCATGTGTGAATGCAGTTTGAATGTTTTTCTTCCTTGGCAGTATTAACCACCTGATTGCAGTTCAGCTGATACAATTCATCTGTGATTTTAGCCCTTGTAAGTAAGATATCCCCTTTTGTGATGACACAACTCTCCCCTTGGAAGGTCACTACATTGCATTATTTTGTTAGCTTCTTCACTGACAAAATATTACTTTCAAGAGCAGGGACATATAGGACATTTTTCACAAATATCTTTCTGGTTATATTCTGGAAATAGGACAGTAAAAAAAAAAACATCCCCTATTCCTTCTGGTTCTATTTTTTGCCCACTTTCTGTTTTACTCTGGTCAAGGTGAATAAAGAAATCTCTGTCATTTGTCATGTGATTCATAGCTCCTGAATCAAAACACTATGCTTGCAAAGGTGAGATACAACTCAAGCAAAATCAGTTTCTTCCTTCACACTTTTTGACTTTTTGTAGTTTTTGCATTCTAGCTTTCCAGATTATGCAATCTGCTTTTAAATGACCCTTTTTCTTGTATACAAAGCATTCATGTATTTTTTGCTTCACATAAATGTTTTTATTCCTACTTTTCATCTTTAAAGCAGACTGTGTGACAGAAGCACTGTCACTATTAATGCTTTCTGTTTTACACTTATATTCATCTATAAACTTGCCTTTAACTTATTCCAATGTTAGCTTATCATCTGGACATGCACCAAGCGCTGTGACAAGTGTTACATAACTTTCTGGTAAACCACTAAGTAATACTGTTGTGACATGAAAATCTTTTATTTCTTTTCATATACCTCTCAGATGTTTAACCATTTCCAAAGTCTGCCTTATGTCCTGGCCTTTCATCAGCTTGGTTTGGTATAGCTTTCTAATCAAATACAGTTTATTGCTGAGATTAGTTTTCTAAACTTTTTGTAATCTTTCCTACATTTGTTTAACAGTTTCATACTTATATTTAAATTGCAGAATCATTCTTGTCCATATATATTTTCCTTTGTTATAATGTTTCTATATTATTTTTATCTTTAAATTATTTTTCGGTTCTAATCAAGTAATGGTACAAAATTATAATTCAATGGGAAAAAAACTTGTCAAGCATTTAATCAGATTTAATTAACACTTTTAACTCAGCAGGGGAGCAATGATTTGTTATTAATATTAGCCAGACTGCTATTTACCTAGGTAGAGACAACTAAGAAAAGTCAATTTTGGAAATTTGAGACCTCTTTATATAAAGTCTCAGGATAATAATTTATAACAGGACATTTACAGGATGGCTTGGCCTCTCCCCTTTCAGTATATATTCTCAAGAAGTAGCATTACAAAACTCCTACAACAATGCAGAAAACTTTGCAAACCTGCTAAGTCCCATTCCTATTACCCAAATTTATCAGCAATGGATCTTCATTAGTTCTTCCTTCCAAAAAATATTCATTAAGGCACTACAGTGATCACTAGGGTGAGGATTTCTGTGACATGTCATATATTTGTCTAGAACCTTTATTTGCATTTATAAATAAATTAAAACATCTTTTAGAGTAATCTGGTGAGAGCTGGGTGCCGTTTATTTTGCCTGAAAAGTCATATTTTGATTTTTGGGAGAGGGGGAGAGATGGGAACAAAGGCTTCTCCCCAAAAATCAGGCCAAAAGCATTTTAATATTCAACAACATTGTGACACTGTGAAAACACAAGAGTTGTTTAGCAAGATTTACCTTAACTGAGAACAGGCAATGTCTCCTTTTTGAAAGAGCTTCTTCAACTGCAGGTTCATCAAATACCCAGTCAGAATTTTATAAGGATGTCTGTTCAATGATTGTTACTTCAGATATTCCCTTAAGGGAATTGGGTAGCGATAGCATCAGGCTTTTTATTTTGTTTTGGTTTTGTTTTGCTTTTTGGGGGGGGGATTCCAAATAAGTTAACTCTAAGGTAAAATTATATCTCTGCCTGCTATGAAGCTATATTAGGAAAGATAAGATCTGCTATTGATAACAATGAGGCATGGGTTTCAATAAATAAAACAAGTAATGGAAGGTATGCAGCCAATGTTATTATTGACATTCTGAAATGTTGCAAACATGATGAAGTATTTTGTCTAACATGTGAAACTCTATAAAAAAAAATAAACAATTCCACTATTACTATGTTCTTTGATGATTCTATGAAACTACTCTGGCCGGATGATGTAAAAGGGGGAAATATCCTTCTCTTTGTAACAGATGCCACTCCACACATGACTAAAGCAGGCTAGGGACTTAAACTTTTTTAATCAAAAAATGATCCATATCACATGCCTTGCACATGGTTTACACAGAATGACTGGAGAGATTTGAAGCAATTACCTTGATGTTTATTAAAGTTCTACCTTTAGTAGAAGTATAAAAGTTCAAAGAAATTGTTCCTACTTTGGCTCTCCCTCCCCAACCTGTTGTGACATGTTGGGGGACTTGGCTGGATGCGGCGATGTATTACTTCACAAATTATGCTTCCTTGCAGCAGGTAGTTAAAGATCTCACAATGACATCATCCTTATTCAGATCTCTTTAGAGAAATTTAAAAAACCATAGAAGACTAGACAAGGTTATGAAGTAGATTGTAAGACTTCCGCCACTTACTGGCTGTAAGCTGATATACACACACTTCTTATATAGCGTTAACATCTAATTCAGTACTATAACTAGTCCTGATCTAGGTTTCCCTTGCATTTTCACACTGCAATCCAGATATCAAATAGCTGATATTTTTAGAACTCTGATTATATACACAAGCATACATATGCCACACATGCTCTCTCTCACACACACAATTCAGTTTTCTTACTGTAAAAAAAGCCTTTATTTCAAATGTTTTCCTAGTTTCAAATAATATAGCCACAATGGCCAAAATTATTGATGTGCTCTTCTGTTTTCAAACAAATTCCATCCAGAAAATAATAACCAAAAATTCAATCCAGAAAATAACTTGTGATTGTTTATGTGTGTGTGTGACATTGTTCTATTCATTCTGCATCATCATTTCATTCTAATCCATATTCCCTAATTATTAAATAGAATTCCTAGTCATCCAACACTGTCATCCTTTTTGTAAAGATTGTATGATTATATAATCATGAAAAAACGGATACAGTGATGAAGGCTATTAAATGGATGAAGCTCCATATGTGACTAGGATAGAGGATGAACTAATGAGACTTCCTTTACATTCATTTCACTGAACTTGAACCTAATCTTTTAACAGACTCCTAGCAATTTGATTGTTCGAGATCTCTAGAGCAGTTGAGGATGCTAATCATTCCACTTATTAAAACTTGATGGTACTTTCTAATTTAACTACAATAAGGAATAAAAAAGAAGTCATTCTAATTCAACTGCTGCCTCAGATAAAGAAATTTTATAGACAATCAAAGTTAATTCAAAACAAGCAGTACAAAATAACTGTAGGCATGATCAGTTTTACAATTCCATAAATTAATTAACTTTAGAATTGTTTGGAGCTGAGATCTATACAGATAGTCCTTGACTTACCACCACAATTGAGCCCAACATTTCTGTTGTTAAGTGAGACATTTGTTAAGTGAGTTTTGCCCCATTTTACAATGTTTCTTGTCAACTTTCTTGTCATAGTTGTTAAGTGAGTCAATGCAGTTGATAAGTTAGTAACAAGGCTGTTAAGTGAATCTGGCTTCCCCATTGATTTTGCTTGCCAAAAGGTTACAAAAGGTTATCACATGAACTTAAGACACTGCAATTGTCATAAATATCAATCAGTTGCCAAGCATCTGAATTTTGATCACATGATGTGAAAAATGGTCATAAATTCTTTTTTTCAGTGCCGTTATAACTTCGAACGGTCACTAAATGAACTGTTGTAAATCAAGGACTATCTGTAATCTACTGTATTTTGTCTGTATGTAACCTGATAGTCATCAGGTCTTCTGGCCTCCAGAATTTTAATTTATTTTTAAATTAAAGTAGCTATGCCTACTATATATGCCTTACCAGAATGCCTTTATGGATATTGAAGGCTAAGAAACTAAACTAATCTGTTATCCAGTATTTCATTCAGAATTAGAAAAGGCAAATGACAAATTAGACAACAGAAAACATCCTTAGAGAAAAAAATTGGAAACTGTAGTGGTGCGGTCTTAATAAATAAATAATTTTGATACTCATAAAAACTGTCTTAAATATAAGCGTGTATATCATACTGTACAACTAAAAATTAACATTTCAATTGGTTCCTTTCAAAAAAAGGAAATGAGAAAATAACATAAACAAACATAAATTAGTATGTTTAGTATATATTTAAATGGAGCAGGGTTTGATTAAACTGGTGTTGAAATAGCCCTGGGAAACTGAGAATTCTATATTGGCTTCTGCTTCTGAAAATAAAGGACATTATTCATTGATACACTGTCCCAGAGTCCACTTCAATCCCAAAGGGGAGGCATATTATGGCCAACTTGCTCTAGCTGCTGCAGGGAACATGAAACATATATGAATATATTATTACCAACAGAAGAGAGGTAGTTGGTGTAATAAGTGGACTTATAAGACACTTACCCCATTCTTTGGATACGCAATCCATCCAAGATCTGCCATAACTGATCTTGAATCCAATAAATTCACTAAAAGAGATCAAAGAAAGAATGTCAATTGAGTGTAAAATGGGCACTAAATCTCCACTTGCACAATAACTAATAGGCATATTTTATATACACATTACATATACATACATATACAGTAAATACATTATATATAAATACATATACATACATATGTATGTATATATGTATGTATATTGCATGTGTGTGTGTGTGTGTGTGTGTGTGTGTGTGATATATGTATATAAAACTTCTCATACCTTTCATTAGTTAAATGACTATGAAGGATTGGAACATCTAGGTGAGTGATATCACTTATTTTAAAAGTACTATGCCTTGGTGCTGCAGATAATACATTCCACAACAATAAAGGAGAATATTTGTCATTCAAGATTGAAATGAGGGGGTTCTTGGTGCTCTCTGAGCTTGTTTGTTTTCTTGCAGACATCTCATTACCCAACCTAGGTAACATCATCAATGCTAGTAAGGAGTGCTATTTGCTGTCAGTTTATAATCTGGTGTCTTGCCCTATCAGTGTGGGTGTGGGTGGTCTTAGAGATTCTTTGATTGGGTTGTTTACTATTGGCTCTTTGGCAGTTTCTTGATTGGGGTATTGTTTACTTGATTATTGGTCTGAAGCTGACCTTGGAGTTAATCTATGCTGATCTGGATGCTGATTGCTGATGGAGTGGTTCTTGGGTCTTTTTTTTCCTTTTTGGACTGGTTGATTGTCTCTTCTGCATAGTCTGTAGATGTTGTTAATGTCTATGTGTCTATTGATGGTTAATTTGTCAGAGTGTCACTCCACAACAAGCTAAAATCCAAACCAAAATCAGAACAGCCATGATAAAAAAGTAAATTTTAGCATTTCTCTGTAACACCAACTAGCTCTTTCATAGTTAAGGATGTTAAGAACGTTCATGACACATCAGATTCAATTGGTAAACTGATAGCTAATAGGAGTTGCACAAAAAAGTGATTCAAAAATATATTCCTTTTATAACCTGCTTTAATCATGCAGGGATCATTTTGCTTCAGACAACACATGAGAGTATGAAAGGAAGAGAATTAATCATGCGTGCCTATATGGCATACATTTAGAAATAACAGCGTGTGATACACTTACAATAGAACGAAAGTAAGTTTATACAACCAAAATTAATGCCACCACAAATGCAGAATTGTACTGCACACCAGAATTACATCACTTCAGTAAAAATATTAGCAGGCTAAGGTATCAAATCAAGGCCTACAGAGAAAAGAAAAAGGAAATAAAACCAAGAACTGGAAATAATGAATAAAGAGTGGAACAATTGAGCAATCTGCAGTTTATGCAACTTTTTGTTGTTGTTGTTAACATTCATAAGCTCAGAGTAGAGAGGACTAAGAACTGCAAACTGTTAATAGCACCTGAAGAGAGGACAGAAAGCAAGCAGAGATTAGCAAGGCAGATTTCCATGCAAGTCAACAAACAAGAAACAAAAAAATGCCTGCTGGTTCAAAAGTGAGGCAAAGCACAATAAACAACAAAAATGCTTCTCATTTCCGTTCTCCCACCTTTTACCCAGAAATATTATTCTTTTCCCTAATGCTCCAAGAAGAATGTTCAAGAGCCCCATATGTTTTTAAATTCTGAAAATAAAGTGGAGATATACAAAGACTGGCATATGAAATTTAACAAAAATGGCCTACAGTCACTGAAGCTATGATTCCAGGTGGCATCTGGTTTTTAAAAATGAGACACTGCCTTTGAGAACAAGGTCCATAATTTTAGGAAGGGCTACAATTTCAGTTTATTTTGGGTTGACAATTCTATTCTCAATGAAAATTCTTTTGCAAAAATAATGGATTTGTTAAATATAATTATTTAAATAAGATTTAAAAATTAACTTCAGTGGGAAATGGGGCTCATCATATATTTCAAGATTCAAATTGATTCAAATTCCTAAAAGGTTATGGAATAAAAGTCCCTGGCAGATTGTGCCTTCTGCTGCCTAAGTGCTTCAATTCACATTACTTGGCTCTGCCAAGCAATGCAGCCAATTAACAAGCAGTTGTACCTTAAATAGTAATAAACTATTCCAAACTTATAGCCTTTTTTCTTGCAATATCTAAGATCTCTAGTCTAAATAGAAAATGTAATTAAAAGATAAATCTGCACCGATTAAACAAGCTAAGGAAAATTATAGCACTTTCTTCCTTTTTTGTGCTAAAAGCATGTTAGACTAAAGCAACACAATCTAATAAAACCTAATATTTTCAGAGTTATGGGGATTATTTAGATGGCACAACTTTCCTTTTGCGGCATCTAAAGGAGATATTCGGGGGTTTTTTGTTTGTTTGTTTTTACAAATCAACCTTTTCAGAAGAATTATTTTATCCTCAGGACTGTTATCATTTGCATTATGTAGAAGTACTATATTAACAGAATAACAGAGTTGGAAGGGACCTTGGAGGTTTTCTAGTCCAACCTCCTGCTCAAGCAGGAGATCCTCTACCATTCCAGGCAAACAGCTGTCCAGGTTCTTCTTAAAAGCCTCCAATGAGGGAGCGCCCACAACTTCTGTAGGCAAAGCCATTCTACTGGTTCTCATAATTAGGAAATTTCTCCTTAGTTGTAGGTTGCTTCTCTCCTTGATTAGTTTCCATCCATTGTTTCTCATTTTGTCTTGTCTTCTTGTACTTTGGAAAATAGGTTGACACCCTCTTCCTTCTGGCAGCCCCTCATTATTATTATCAGTGTTATCATTATTAGTATTATAAATATTATTATTATCAGTATAAAGAAGTCAGCTCTAAAAGTATTAGGAAATCAGCTCTAAAAATCCAATCAGAACCATGATCAAATCACATATTTCTGCTGTAAACAAAGTGAAAGACATATGTAAAACCAGAAGCAAAGTTCAAAGACAGTTTTCAGAAGGTAAAACACAACACAATAGATTTTATACATATACTGCATATGCTCATCATATAGGATTTAATACACCAGCAAACATATCCTATGCAATTTTATTCCTTGCCAATTGTTTTTCTCTTAATTTTTTCTGTTAATTGTCACCATACCGTATCTTCATATAAGATATGCTGAGCTGACTTTATAGATAATACCTGCTACTTTCAACATGTAAAAAACAAGAAAAATGTTAAGGAAACCATAAGTGGGAGGAGATGGCGAGGTGACAGTAGCAGTAGTTTAATTCATTCTTTGTATCTATCTTTAAGGAAAAAACAGACAACCTGTCAAAAGCAATACCATGGAAGACAAAATAGGAATGCAAATTAAAATAGGCAACAAAATGCTAACATAATACCTATCCAATCTACATGAGTTAAATCACCAGGACCAGATGGATTACATCCCAGGGTTCTGAAGAAGCTGGCAGACATGACCTCAGAACCAATGAATCATAGCTTTCAAAACTCCTGGAGCACAAGGGAACTAATTGAGAACTAGAGAAGAGCTGATGTGATTTCAATGTTCAAAAAAAAAGGGGGGGGGGATGGACCCAGGAAACAACAAATCAATCAGCCTGACATCAATACTTGGGAAGATCCTGGAAAAGATAATCAAGCAGCAGATCTGTGAACATCTAGAAATAAGCAAAGTTACTAGAAATATTTTTGTTGTTGTTAGTTCCTCCAGTCCTTCCTCTCCTCTATCCTCTCCCCTGGAGAACATTTAAGCTCATGCCTACTGCTTCAGTGACTCCATCCATCCATCCACCTCATTCTCTGCCGTCCCCTTCTTCATTTGCTCTCAATCATTCCCAGCATTAGGCTCTTCTCCAGTGAGTCCTTCCTTCTCATTAAGTGGCCAAAGTATTTCAATTTCATCTTCAGGATCTGGCCTTCTAAAGAGCAGTCAGGGTTGATCTCCTCTAGGACTGACAGGTTTGATTGCCTTGCAGTCCAAGGGACTCGCAGTAGTCTTCTCAGCACCATAGTTCAATGGCCTCAATTCTTTGCCACTCAGCCTTCCTTGGTCCAACTTTCACAACCATACATTGCAAGTGGGAAAACCATAGCCTTGACTATATGCACTTTTGTTGGCAGGGTGATGCCCCTGCTTTTTAGTATGCTGTCTAACTTTGCCATAGCTTTCCTCCCCAGGAGCAAGCATCTTTTAATTTCTTCACTGTAGTCCTCATCTGCAGTGATTTTGGAGCCCAGGAAAATAAAGTGTGTCACTACCTCCATTTCTTCCCCATCTATTTGCCAGAAATTGAGAGGGCCAAATGCCATGATCTTAGTTTTCTTAATGTTGAGTTTCAAGCCACTTTTTGCACATTCCTCCTTCACCCGCATCAGAAGGCAGATTATTTACTACGTCCCAAAGTCCTTCTCTACGCAGAAGTAGATTACATTTTGTAGACCAGGATACATAGTTTGTTCCATCCAGCTGGGTTACCATGGAGATATTCGATAACTGTTCTTGTGCCATCTTCACTTGGATTATATTTCACAAACACAGTTTTCTGAATTATTCACATTAACTCTCAGTTTTGCTCTGAACAATCCTAATTAGTTCTGGTTGGCTCTGGGCCCATAACCAATGTTAAGGATATTGTTGTGTTACCAACCAGCAGAGTAAGTGCATAGAGAAACGGTACTGAGAGCAATGAATACAATACATACAAACTGGTTTAACAAAGCTTTTACTTTGTAGTGAAAAACAATTGCATAGTCTTTTAGTCAATCCAAGTCTTTAGCCATTCAAATCAATCCGAAGTTACAGATATCTTCTTACCAGACAAACAGCAGTTGGTAATAAACAGCAATTCAACGCTGGAAGCTTCTTCAGCTCTGACAGAATAGTAGGGAATGGAAGGATTTATATTCCGTGCAGACAGCTGGTAATCTGCATCTTTTTAGAGGGTTGTTGAAGCACTTGGAGGTTTATCTGTGTCCCTAGGGTCACCTACATAGTGCTCCTGGTTCCTATAGTCTGCAATTTTTCTTCTGGAAATCCATTCCTATTCCCACATCATTCAAAGGGTGTTCAGCCCAAATTGTAAAGCTAA